TTTTTTCCTTCTCTGCACTGGCAAAGTTAAAGACTAGATTGTGTGACTGATGGGCAAACAAATATCACAACAAACTGCAAGAGGACTTGAAAATCTGTACTTTAGAAGCATAAGGACTACCAAAGGCCAGCAGTCACACAGACAGAAAGCTCATAAGGAAGGATTCTGAAAATGCAGAGAGAAACAGCACAGGAAGTCTGTTCAGTGTAAAGCAATACTAGTCCTGGCCTTTCCAGGCATCTGCCCATGCTCCAAACTACCACATCACTAACACAAACAGTCAGGGCTATGGGCAACAGAAAACCATCATCTTTACAGCTTGCCAAGTAGGGGTCCCAGAAAAGGGGTGACTGTGTTCACTCACTGCTCTGCAATGGTGACCACTGCTCACCACCCTGCACCAAGTTAGCACAGACACAGTTATTTTCTTTTAAATTACTTCTTCCCCTATTCAACCACTTCTCTGCTTTGACTTAGAAAATAATACTAAAACTGCTTAATTTTACCCAAACATGCAGCACATGCTTTCTAGTTGTTCCCTGAATCTATTTTAATATATTTTTAAATTGTTGGTACTGCCAAACTCCATCTTCCCAGCATTATGTCAGAATGAATTTTTTATTCAGCCTATGGTGGAGCATTCAAGTGCTTTTCTTCACTCCAAAAAATCAACTGTGTTGGTTTTCATGCTCTCTATAAAGCATTGGACATAAAAATGTGTTTGAGATGCAAAGAGTAGAGAAACTTGAATTTACGTGGTTCAGTTCTGCATTCAGTGTAATGAAACCTGGTTCCTACTATTTCTACAGACTATTTTCTGTTCATGGCAGACCATGTGGGCAAGTAGCAGATGTTTCCTTTTAGTTTTCCATATGACTGTGTGAATGCCCAATATGTGAAAATTATTTTCTGGCAAGGGGTCTTACGGGGAACTCTGGCTCCTTTTGTGCTCTACACATTTCACTCAGATTTCCTGGGGCTCTCCTTTTATCCCCAGGATGGTTATTCAGTCTCTTGGTGGAAAAGTGAGAACACAATTATAGCATGCAGGTTTTAAGCTTGGCAACAAATGTCTAAAGTGCACTCTAGTGAGAGGGGAGTTCAATTAGCTTTTCTGACCTACCCCTGCAACTTAAGAACTATTTGGTAATCTTCTTTTCTGTGCTCTACACTACTGTGAGACACGGCTATGCTCTGACATATTTTACACTCAATATTAAGAGGAGCAGCTTATGTTCTCACTCACACAAAGGTATTCCTGAAAACCATACAGCAAAGCTGAATGCAGTGAGGAGAAATGCTGGTTCAAGGAGTACTGTCACGACAATCTTCCTCATAACTTTCAGGCACATGTGGGCTTTAGACACACCACCCTTCAGCTTGCTTTGCTCAGTGCTCTCATAACCTTGGGAAAGCCATGTCATAGAAAGCCCAGCAAGAAGGGGTGACAATGGTGCCAGATCACAGCAGAAGCACAATCGACATGAGACTGTGAAAGACTTCTTGTGAGGCAAAGTGCCCTGCCTGGACCAGTCCATGGATTGTAAAATGCTCTGGTGCCTTCTGGCATGAAAAGCACTGTACAAAATCAAGTTGTTATCACCTATTCTGAGCAGCTGGCAGGAACTTCTGGGAGGTTCTTTAAGAAAGGGAAAAGTGATCTCACTGCAGTGTTTTTAAACAAGCATCTTTCTGGGACTGTTATTTGCTCCATTTTGTTAAAAAGTTAAAATGGAAGCAAGCATTGCATTTTTTTCCCCAAGCTTTTACAGGTGTTCACAGCACATCTGCTCCCTAGCACTGCTTTTTTAGATTGTGGGAGGGTCTGCACTGTTTTGCCAGAGAGGTGACTTTTCAAATAGCAGCACAGTAGTGACTGAACATGTTCAGGAGTAACTTCCCTTCACTTGTTAGGTCAAGCTGTGAAATACTCAGCCAGAGACGGACACGGATTTCCACTGACAACTATCACTCAACAGTTTCTGCTGCAAAAAAAGTAAAGTTTTTGTGAGTCTTTCTGCTGAAGCTTTCAGGACACACATTTATCTCCATAATAATGGTTTCACATACTGTCTGGAGGTAGGAGGAAGATATACAATACTGTCTTTGCATACTTCATTCTTTCTGTGATCAGTAAAATCATGAAAAGATTTTAAAAAACCAAAACAGACTATCAAAAAATTAAAAATATTACTGACTCTTGCAATTCAGTTTTGATTCTGACCTTGATTGTAAATGCAAGAAAGGACACAAAACCAGTCTTTTATCCTATTACCAAAGGAAGAAAAATAAACTCAAAAGAGACACCAAAGTAGTGTGTGTTTCAGCATTCAGCTGCAATGCAAAATTAAAGCTTCTGACTTCATTCAGCTTCATTAAAACCCCCTAGGGGGTGACAGCAGTGTTAAGCTCCCATCTACGTTATGGTATTGAGCCCACTCAAATATTCCTGGCAGTTCTGAACATGGACAGCATTTAGTGGCTGTTCTATGTTTATCTGCTGTACATCTCAACCAGTCTGCACTCCAGCAGCAACTGGAGAAGAACTTGGAAAAAGCTTTGGAATCACTATCACAATGGAGACGTGATATCATGCCCTTCCTTTTGGTCACTCCACAGTCCTCTGGGAGCAACACTTTAGCTGAATTGCTTAATTTTCCTTGATAGGCAAGTTGACTGTGTCACAGAGAATTCCTACACCCAAGAAGGGTGATAAATATGCAAGAGGCTGTGGGCTCATTTAATACTTTAATCCTCCTGCTACCACTAGTCATGTTTTGTTCAACTCTGAAGCAATGTAAATAACACACACTGAACCATCCAGCCCAGGAATATGATGTGTTCACTTTATGAGGTCTGAAGCTGTATGTATCAATGGTTCTGCTGATTTCTACACAAATCCAGTAAATCTACAGCAGTTGGCAGCAAGTCTTCCTAAACAAGGCACTGAAGGCAGCTATGCCCATCTTTCTCAGCATTTAGGCCACAAGGTCATAGGAAATATCACAAAACTCTCTTTAACTTCAGCAAAGAAGGTGTAAAGTCATGCATTTTACTGTTTAAACCAAAATTCCCCTTCATTCATTTGAAGAAAAACCTAAATATTAGGTTTATGAGCTGCCAAAAGCAATATAGCCAGCACTGAGATTTCCATAAACATATGCTGACATTATACTGTCCTTGTTGCAGTGTTATGCTACGTGCATGAAATTGCTTTGCAAGGCACAAATATTCAGAGCACAGATCTCTTACAGATCTATTCTAGAGCTTCTAGTTTCAGTAATTTAGGCAGTAAAGCTGGTAGGAGGCAAAATTGAATGAAGCCTATTCAAAAGTTTTCCAGGCTATTTTCATCATTAAGTACTTGCATTTACATACTCTTTTGGGGTAACTTTGTCTTTTCCTCTGTTAAGTAACACATTTTAGCATGAGGCAATATACTTCAGTGTTTTTCAAGCTAAAACATGAATAATGAAGAATTTTAGTTCTGAATTTACTACCCCCTACATTTTTAGGTCCTATCAGAGTTCTAAGCCTGTTCCATGACCAGAACAATTGCTTAAAGACTGAATTAACTGTTACTGCCTGCAACCAACATGTGACACTATATATTTTCAATACTGCTACCAAAAAAAAAAAAAAAAAGAGTGTGGACTATACAGCAAATTAGATCCAACTATGAGTTTATTCAGAGAAAAGGTCCCCTCTGAGAACTACCAAAAAAAGGTGCAAGGGGTTAATGAATTCAATTTTCATATTGCAGCAATCTAATTACTACATTCAAGTTGATAAGCAAACATCCCCATACTGGGTCCAGAGCAACCCTGACAACATTATGCAGTTTAGTTCAACTGGTGATCACAGTTCATGTTTGCTGGAGTACAGGGACAGAAACAAAGCTCCCCTTGCTATACAGTAAGTACATGGGCAGCTCAGTGAAACAGAATCTTCCCCAAAATTAGCTCAGTAGCACTTGGATTTTCTGCCCATACAGAAGTGGAGCCCCAGTGGCACTGAAGTCACTTATGATGCATCACTGGAAACAATGAATACACCAGTAAAGTCCAGAGTTAAACTTCTTCCAATACTACAGCACTTAGATAAGACATGCTCATACAAATACTGACAAATACTGTGGATGAATTAAAGGGGAAAGGTTTCTGTATTCTTCTGTGATTTGTAACCAAGTATTGCACATTTTAACATGATTTCTTCTGTTTAGTGCAACTGTCTAATACACAGGTTTTATATGACATCTATGCTTAACCAAGGCCAAGTAAAACTCAAAGCAGAAAATATTTTTCTATGACAAGAACATACAAAATATGCAACTTGCTACTACAGCAATTATTTCTGCTATAAATTTTCAAAAGGTATAGATATACACATTGAATATCACAAGTAATCAAAATTACAATGGAATAAATAGATTAAAGACATAAAAGCACGAAGAAAAAGAATGAACTAAAGATGAGAATTGGAAATGAAATGATGAATGGGAAAGTTAGAAGAAACTATGTGGGAAAGAAAAAAACAATGGTGGATAAGAACCAAAGATGATGGGATGTGAAGAGACAGTAAAGGACTGTCTGCCAAAGAAGATAAGATCAAAGAAACAGTATAGAAAGATGAGATTTAAAGAAGGTAAAAGAGACTTCAGAAAATCCTACAGACTGGATATTTAGAACTGCTTTCATTTGCTCAGATATGCTGCCACTGGACTTGATACAAAAGAATTAGGTCAAGATGGATCATTTAGGGCAAAAAAAACCAGTGATTTTTTTTGAAGAACTTTATGTATGCAAGCAACCAGACACTCATGCATATATTACTTCCTGGTTGGTGAGGAGTGTCACTTAATGGCACCATGTATTTGTTTTTTTGCAATCAAATGCTGCAAGCAAAGAGGGTGTAAGTGACCCCTCCCCACTAACGCCAGTGCCCTAATTAGCCCCTTTTCTCGGGTGGTGCTGATGGATCTCTGAAGTTGATTTACCTACCAGCTGTGCAATTCTGCAAAAGCAGCTTTGATCTTCTTCACTGAATTATCCACTTCCTCTTTGATCATCACACGGTATCTGGTTAGAGAAACAGTGCAACGCTGCAAGTCTTTTACTGATTTTTCAATGTTTGGCCCTAAAATAGAAAACCAAAATTGCACAAAAGTCAGAAAGCTGGCTTTGGCTTTTCTGAATGAGGGGGCAGGAATAGTTCAAAGTGTTATTTGCCCAGATTAGGATGAAGTGGTTATCCTCCTGAAGTCCATAAATCCAACTATTCCATAGTCCTTCCCTGGTGCTATTCAGTTTCTAAACGCTTGCTCAAATTCATCACCCAAAACAAATAAATATTATAAAGGCACTATTAGTTAGAATTACTTATTTCAAATTTCATTTAATATAATGTTAAATAGCCCATAAATTGTTCTACTCATTTTTGTTATGCTGAACATGATTCTGCTCTCACTTTCCAACACATCATCCTCACATATGTGAATTCCCATTTTTTTGCCTAGAGGCCTCAGCTCTCTTAACACGTCAGAACATAGCAACCAGAGATCCAATTTACCTCTTTTTTTAACTGAATCATCTGTCTTTGTTTCAAGTTGGGTTGTAGCATTGGATGATTTAACTGAGGAAGATTTTGACTTTGGCCTGCCTAGGTTACACTGGAGTTGAACTGATGACTGAGGAGGCTCATGCTGTTCTACTCCATTCATATTCTTTGGGCTTAATTCCACAGATAATCTCTGGCATTCTCGTTCTCTGTCTGCAAGAAAACATTAAGGATGAAAACAGGGAGTTATAAGATTAGGAAAGATATGAAGCCTTATTGTTAGGGCAGAATGACTTTATGCCTAAACACTGGAAAAATCAAAGGTGTTTTCACTGGCACACATTCCACAGGACCTCAGATGGCCATCACAACAATGAAATTGTTTTGGTTATTAAACACTAATTGGAACACTTCTATGTTTCAACAGTCTAAAAAAGAAAAACTCATTTAAAAAAATCAACTCTTTCATGCTGATATGAAAAAATACCTCATAACATAAAAAGTAAACTATCAATTATAATTTTAGCCTGAATATTTGAGAATAGAACTAGAGAGGAAGTCTGCTATGGAAAGCAGGAGACTTTAATGTTGATATATATATATATTTATATATCTCTATATCTCACACACCAAAAAACGTTCCTCATTTTATCAGAATTTTAAAAGCACTGATTAAACATTCCTACCTGAAATACTTACCTTGCCTGATTAAAGATTTCTATCAAAAGCAGCTGCTAAGAGGAACTAAGCAGGAAATGAAACTATGTCAAAGATTAGGTTCCTGGGTTCAACAGCTTCAGAGGGATATGATAACAATGCCTGAGCCTATTTGGCTGCCACAAGATGACCTGGTTTCCTCTTTCCAAGACTCCAAAAGGATTCAAGATATCAGTATCATGACAGAGAGACAAGCAGCCCAAGAATGACTATGAAAACTGAAAGGTGAGGCCAGCTATTGCTGCCACTGTGAATTTCACTTAAGGAAACAAGCATAGAAAATGATTTGTTGTGTTAACTCTTCTTTCTCATCTTTGTATTCACTTTGATGAATGAATGATAGTTTGTTCTGAAGTTGCTCTTTATGCATCACTTTACCAGCTGATGGTGTGTGGTGTCTGGAGAAAAGGGGCTTGTCAGATTAACAGCTGGATTACAGCCCATGGAGTGAGATTTACACTGAGGGTTACCACATGGATAGCTGCAGCCTATCAACTAGTGACTTTGTCCTGGCTGGGCATTAGGACAGGTGTAAAGTATATCTTAGTTTTCATGGCAATCACATAACGCCAGAGGAACAAGGAGGAACATCAGCGCTCACATTTTAAACCAGCTTTTGTTTAAGGGCTTTAAAAGATGAGTCTGAAATCAGAAAAGGTATCTTACATAAAACAGTAAGAAAACAGTGAAAGAAGTTAAAGAAACCTGTGAATCTGTGCAAGCAAGAAACATCAGTAATGCAGCACTCTGAGCATGCCAAAGGTTCATGGCAGGTACTAGTATCACACATAGTGAGGAACTTCTTCTGAGATCTCACAGTAATGCAGATAGCTTTGATCTATAAAGAACATTCTTTCTACTGTCAGTTAAGGCTGGCCTTGCTAAATAGCTCTAACAGAGAGTTAGAAACAAGCAGACTACCAGCTAACCTACAGAGAAAGGCCAGGGCTTTTGGGCTCTGTCCCGAAGATTAGATCTTCTGGAATTTGTTGTTTAAGTGCAAAATTGTTTTAACTAAATTTAATTAGCAGCTTCGGTACACTTGTCAAGACAAATAACAAATTTGACAGCTTTTTGCCTAAAGAAACTCATCTACAACAACGATACTCTAAAAACTTTTCAATCATCTTTTGTCTGCAATATACTCTGACAAACTGTTTCTTGCAAAATGACACATGAGCGACTTTAAAACCCATCAGCCAGATGACCAACATGGACTAGCAGGCAATGATTTGGTATGCTGCAACTAGACTTCCAAATCTGACTGAAGACAATCAACAGAATGAAAAATACCTTAAGAAAGTCTGCATCAAATCTCCGAAGACTTGGGTCAGCTAAGAAACGTGTAACAAAATCTGGGGACAAAGTCTCTTTCAAATGCTTGAAAGAGAACTCAAAGGTTTGGCCAATAGTAGCTACAAGTCAACTGCTGCATGGTTCAGTACACGGAGGTTTGGAACTTCAGCACTAGTCTAACGTGTGACATCCGCTCTATTAACAGTCAAGTATTACCACACCTGCCAGTAAATAAACTTGCTTTGAAATCTGCTGAGCTGCCATCTTCAAAATGAGTGGTTTATCTTTTTATAACAGCTTGCAGTTCAATACCTTTTAAATCAAGTGAACCTCATAGACTGGCTGAAAGAAAAAAAAAAACCACACCTCCTGAGATATAAACAGGAAGTTAGAAAGATTCACTCGAAATCTTCCTACGTGAAAAAATAATTTCAAAAAGTAGGAAAGAGATCAGTATCTGATCTGTATCTGGTTTTACCCAGGTCCCGACAAGTGATAGCATGGCAAGGCAGCATTAAATATCCTTCCAGTGCATTCAACACACCTTCTTTACAAGGGAATGTACAGAAATATGTACAACAAAATACTTCTAAGAAAGATGGAATAATGGCAAGAAACAAGCAGACCTGAACTAAAGGCAACAGCCACATGGTCTCCTCTATCATTTTCTAGCATGGGACACATTATGGAGACACACTCACTACGCTGCATCCTCCCTTCTGGTTCCTGAAGTTCCTTCCAAGCAGCCACAATTTTATGGCTCTGAAAGACCTGATCTTACAAACTGAGAGTTGGTATAGGCAAAGCTTCAACCTCATGTTCCTCATAGGGAGGAAAGTATTAAGGGACTGTGAACAGACACCTGACTGTGATCCTTCTAATCTGTGAACTGTCTGAAGGTGATGGTGAAATGACTACAGTAACATTAATTTGATACAGAAGGAACCAAAACAAACAAGCCAGACAAGGACAATACAAAGGAGATTTCAACACAAGAGGGAGCAATATGAAACTGGTGCACTTTGGACTCATTTCAGCATTTCAAACTGCTTTAGAAGAGTCTATACGACCTGCTCAGAAACCACAAGGGCACAGATGCTGGCCCCTGAAGGATCCTGATCACCTTTCTACTCTATTTAGTTCCACGTATTTCAGCACAAATGTACATAGGTGGCTTTTGACCTCAAGGAAGTAGCTATTACACTGACTGTGAAGAAAAGAATTCTAGTACAATTGAAAGTAAAGAAGAAATTCTTCCCTTCTCTCCATTATACAATTTGCCAGGAACTTATTTTACTATGCAAGAAAAATCTGAATATTAAAGTTTCAGATTTTCCTTTCTCTCTATTTCCTTTCTTTTCTGCCATTTTTTTTAAATCCCTCTCTCCCTCTTGTTTTTGAAACAGAGGATATATATAAAAGTTGAAAAAATCATAAAGCTATGGTCATATCTCATTTGTCACTTGCAAAAGCAAAGAAAAATTGCAAGATACCTTTTGCCCCTTATATGTAGAACTAACTCTTCACTGTATCATGTCAAAGAGAAAAAAAAACAGGACTTGATCCCAGTGACAGAAAAAGATCACTAACAGCATGGGTACTCTTCTTGCATTCAGGTCTTTTACCCCCTAGAAAATGCTCCCCATGCATAGACAATTCAGTTTATGTACTTTATTCATGCATGTATCATTTCAAAAAATACCACTCTAAGAAGTTTCCTTCTTGCAGAATAAGTGGCAAGAATGCTTTTAGTATTATGGAAATGCAGAGTCTTCTGGCTTATGAAATATTTTATCTGAAGTTAAGTGAGAGTCTTTAGCAAGGGCAGAAAAAAGTGTACCTCTGATCCTTGATTTCTTGGTAAGTAGTTTTGTTTGCTTGCTATAGGTTGCAGAGTTTTCATTTAATTGACCAGAAGTTGGGACCACCAAAGCAGCCGAGAATTTATTTCAGGACAATTATACATTTGGCACATTCCTTTAAAATGAGATTCAAGAGCTGTATTTGCAACCATGGAAAAAGTGATTTCAAGGAAAGTTCTTTTAATAGTCTCAAATACTGCTTAAGACACAGGAAGAAAATACTAACAGCAGCAATAATCCAGGGCTGTCAGATGTCCCAAATGTGAAGAGCTGAAAAACCACTACCAATACTGACAGCAATTTATTATGAGCTTTATGAACTTGTAGGCAAAAGCTTTCACAGAGCTTCTCCCCCAGAGGAGCGAGTTTTTTTCACTGATGTTGCTATAATCATAACTCTGCATCTACTGTGACCCAGGGAGAAGAACTGTGTTACTGTTCCCCCCGTTTCAGAAGTGGTTCCTAGACCCCAGCAGAAACATGCATGTACTAAGAGGCCCTCCCTTCCCTGTTAGGGACAGCCAGTGGAGATCTACTGTGACTAGCCTATTCAGGGAAGATGAGGAAAAGAAAAATGGACTAGTTTAGACTGAGCAATAAAGAAATCCAGTAATACGCCACGAGCTCATAATGCTCAGATATCTTTGCTCCCTATGAGGGACTTAATCCTTCTGTTAACCATTTGACACTCAAACCATTTTCTAACCCTGCATTCTTATGTATTTCTACCTGTAATACTCTGTATCAGCTGGGCCCCTAATTACAGTTTGATTCTTTTGTCTCTAAGTAAAAAAACACATTTTGCAAGGTGAATAGTGCCCAGATATAGACCTATTTGCATGACTTTAATAGCTATGAGCATTATTTTGCACAAACACATCTCTCCAACATATTATTCTACTTCAAGGCAATAAAAATACCATGATCTTTATGTAAATGGAGGCTTGGCTATTGCCACTTAAAAACGTGCCCTCTGTCAGATGAGCTGACCTCTGATTTCTGGACAGTCCAGTGCTGATCCTACAAATCCTGAGCCTTTGTTCTCCAGAGAAGTGGTTTCCAGTTTCTGATTGGCAGAACCACGGCAAGAGTTGTCCTTAGAGCATCCGTTCATATGACAGTCATGTATTCCCTGGGGTTCTTGAGATGCCTTCTCAGGTCCATTCTTGTTTTTAGGATCTTTATTGCCTTGATGCTGTTTAGATTTGCTTCTTTTTCTCCTATTGTTCTAAATGGAGAAATATGGCAATAACAGAGACATCATTCGATGCAAATCATACAAATTCAAAATACAATCAGTAAATTGTCCGCAATCCTAAAATGCCATAAAAGTGACATTGGTGTAATGCAATTTACAGGCCATGATGTGCTATACAATACATTGTACTGGTTCATCTGAATATATGAACTGTTTCAAATAAAACCTGAAGCCCCCAATTTAATTTTCCCTGCCCTGCCACACGAAATACTTGCATTGTAAAATGGTAACAGAGCCTCTGTTAAGATGCTGCTCAAAATATTTTGTACTTAGAACAAGCAGTTCCCAACCATTCAGGGAACATCCACACAGTAATACAAACAAACCCTTAAAGCATCGCTTTGATCAGGTAGACAATGGTCATGGACATAGGTTGGTCACTGCTACTGTAGCTCTTCCAACCATAAAGAGGAGCCTCACAGGCTCACAGTGACTCACAGGGCAGCCTTCTGCTACAGTTACAGCTTGGAGATACTTCAAGTGTCATATCTGGGATACAATCTTCATGCTTCTGTATCTGACTTGATAATGTTCCTAATTCATGACTCCTAACAGAAGACTTCTATGCACAAGTTATTTTTACACCTGGCAGCAAAACCTTGAGCAATATAAGTGGCTGTGACTATCCAGGATACAGTTGCTTATTTGAAGTGTTTCTGCACATGGGCTGTTTTGGGATTTGTTTTGTACTTGTCCAGGGTCTGGCTCCCACACACATGTACACACATGGGCTGTCCCAGAAACCCTCTCAGAACACTTGGGCTTAGCAAGACAGTGACAGATGAATAGGATTAAAAATAGTACACACATTTGCTTTCAGGTACTCTGTTTACACATGTGAATGAAGTCACCTATGCCAGAAAAGGCAAAATACTGGCCCAAATGAAAGCACTACATTCAAGTACAAACAGATCTAAATGCCTTGATGCTCAAGAGCAAGTTCTTACCTTCTTTTTCCCTGTCATATTCCATTCCTTCAGAACCTGAGTTGCACTGCCTAGAGAAAGTAAAGATAAAACATTTGAACAAAAGTTCAGCTATGAAAAAGAAGCGTGTTCAGGAACAGTTTCTAGTCTCCTAGCTGAGCAGCATTTCCATTTGTTGCGAATTCTATTATATGGGGAGAACAAAATAGGTACTGATGCCTCTTTCCTCCTTAGTTACCTGTTTTGATTGCACTACATACAGTGGATGGTCCACTTGGCACTACTGGTTTTTTATGGACTTCATTTCACAAATGATTAAGTGTGGGTGTACCTTAAAGCATTAGCATAAGCCTCAGAAAAATCAACATTCAAATCTCTTGCCTGAAAAGGGAAGTATCTCAGCACCTTAGTGTAAACACTGAGTACAAATCAGATAGTCCATCCTGACTCTAGAGCATTTAAAACTTTAAAAAACTCTTGGCATTTTTATCATATATTTTCTATGTGTTCCCTGTTGCATTCAGAAGACATAAGAACATAAAAAATAAACACTTAATTAGCATCCAAAAGAGTAATTTTGTGGACTCCTGCATAAATTCTGCATTGCACAAATGCAGTAAACTTAGGCTTAGTAGAAAAAAAAAAGTCAAAATTTATGTTGAAAAATATTTACAATTTCGTATACTTGAAATTCTGTCTGTCAGCCATAATGAGTTGATCAGACAAATTTATGGAACAAAGCAAGTAGAGCCTTGGTTAGACCAGTGCCAGCTGCCACGTTATAAGAAAACTGTTCTCCTTCTGGTTAACATCATTATTTTTTTCTCCCGGACCATAATGCTGAAAATAGATGCTCATGGTAAGCATGCAGTCTGAATCGTCATCCAAATTACTAAGGCACTATCTTTTTAATCACAGTCAGATCAAAGGGCTTCTACTTGAATTTTAAGCACTGTACAAATCTAGTAAGTACTCATTTATTACCCTTTTGAAATGGATTTCATATCCAGACATTCTTCTCACTCCTTTCAGTGAACTCTTGATATTAGCATTAAGAAGAATTGCTGTTTTCAGACTACCATGAGTCATCAATTTGTATTCAGCCAAAGACGTGTGAGGTTTTCAGATGTACCAAAATTATTTTTCTATCACAATAAAGCAGGTCCAAGATTATCTGGTAAGACTATCACACACATTAGGAAAGATTATGTATACTGCTAGCAGTGCTAAGCCTAATTTGTTAAAAAATGTGTATGGAATCCATCAAAGCCATGTTTTGCTTCCCAGATGGCATAGCAACGCAGATACAAGGCTAAGAAAACTTCTATTTTGTGTATAACTATATACATACCTATATTTAGTGACACACATACATACTTATGTACATGTAAGTACAATCCCCTCTCCTAAAGGTTTGCTATCTTTTGACAGGTGTTGTGTTTCATTATGAAGAAATAAACCCTAACATTTGCTGCCCATTTTACTCTGTGCTGCTGAAAGTATGTGATTTCACGTGACAGCTTTGTTGACTGTTTTCACAGTATAAACCAACATCCTTCTTGTGTTGGCTGGTGGTGTCTTTGCTTTGCTTCCCTCAGCTTCCCTGTGAATTCTGTGCATGGTGAGGGTTATTTTAAGGATTCTCCCAACTAAACTCCATTTCTTCCTGTTAGGAAATGCACTAACTGTCCAAGTACCAAAGCCCTCATTTGAACTCATCATTATAATTTGTTGAACACATCTACAAAGCAGCTGATCAGACCTTCTGATTATGCTTAATTAGGTAAGCACTAGCATAGCAAATAAAACATTTGAACCCTCTTTCATTTAAATAAAATTTCACATATAGAAGTAAATTCATAATAGAGACATCACCTAAATGCTACTCCAGATACAAAGCAAGATGGAAAATAATCTCAGGAAACTAAATTTGAACGTTTTTTGATTCAGCATGCAACACCTCAGAGAGAAGCACTGAATGGAGGTGCTGAGCCTTTTCATTCAGCACAGCCACCCCCACGTTTTTCTTTGCCTCTGGCAATGATTTCTCTGCAAGCGTTATTTCAATCTTAGCAGTTTTTGTCATTCACGTGAAAAAATACTCCAAGTGCTGGATTCATTCTATCCACAGCGGCAGCTGCATGGATACCTATCTTTTCTCAGGCTTGCTATTGTTTCCAGACAGTAACAAATATTGGCTGTTTTCAAATGCTGGTTCACAGACTTCTGAAGGCAAGGCACAGTAATCACAAACTGGTGAAGTTCAAACAAAGAACATCTGAACAGGTACAACAGCTTGCTTCTCTTCAGGACTTTGTTGCACTCTTGCCCTGTTTCTTCCATACAGCAGATGACAACACATGGCTATGAAAACACTTCCCCTTTTGAGTGCTCATTGGAAACAATTCATAGGCCACAAGCAAGCAACGGCAACTTAAGACAAAGTAAATTGAAAGTAACTTACTGAATAGTCATGGAACAATCCTCCACTTATTTCCCCAGGACATACATTACAGGAAAACAAAATTATTGTTAGATGCCTCACACTTTCCTTTTCCTGTGTGTGTGCACAGACAAACTCAATTCCATAGATCTATTAGAATGTCTATGCAGTTGCCTGAATCAAAAAGAACCACATAGATCCGATAGAAGAGTTATGATGCCTTTATAAATAGTCCAGTTTGCTTGCACCTGCTTTTTGCATACTGTTAAGTCCTAGTGTATCATGATGCTTTTTGGATGATACATTTTAGTAAGTTAATCCAAACCAACCCCCAAACTATTCTTAAGTAAAATACAGATGAAATAAGCAACTTGCTGAGATAGCAAAAATGCAGAAATTTTTAAGAAATACAGAGCCTTTGAGACCACTGAACTTCTAGTAGTGTTTATGCAGCCCCCAGCTACAAAGATTTTGAGAAGATTTGCTCACGGTATGCCATTATTTCCGCAAAGGGTTTCTCACAGACTTTGGTGAAAGTTCAAAATACTTGACATTATATATTTATCAGAAAAGTGTTATTTAAATACAAGTGACCTTTCATTAGAGATGATCCAGATTTAGAATGGCTCAAACTTCCGATGGAGTCTTGGCTCAGCCATTATAAATGTCAAGGCTATTTGCAAAATTCAGATTGAGGTTTGAATGTCAATTCAATGTATGCATCTAGTTCAGGGGTTTAGGGGCCTGGCTATCTGCTTCAGAACTATCCCAAATTCTTATTAGTTACTGTATCTTCAAGAGTGAATCATTTCCTGACATATTTACTTTTAAAAGCATTGACTTTCATGCAGAATAAAGGAGGTGGTCTGCAACAAAAAGGGTATCAAAAATGGCAAAGTCAGGTGGAACAGATAAACAGCCATGTCAAACTCATAGCATAGAGAAGCAAAGATGCAGACAGGAGGATCAATTATAAAAAAAAAATTTAACTAAGTGCCACACTGATCAGATTTCAGAAAAAATACATAATATATTTTCACAGAATATGCTGAGTTGGAAGGGACTCACAAGGATCACTGAGTGCAACCCTTAGCTCCACACAGGACCATCCGCAACAATCCCACCATAGGCCTGACAATATCATCCAAATGCTCCTTGAACTCTGTCAGGCTTGGTGCTGTGACCACTGCCCTGGGGAGCCTCTTCCAGTGCCCAGCCACGCTCTGGAGGAAGAACCTGTTTCTAATATCCAACCTAAACCTCCCCTGACACAACTTCAGACCATTCCCTGGGGTCCTGTCACTGGTCACCACAGAGAAGAGATCAGTGCCTGCCCCTCCCCTTCCCCTCACAAGGAAGTTGTAACTGCAGTGAGGTCTCCCCTCAGTTTCCTCTTCTCCAGGCTGAACAGACCAAACGCCCTCAGCCGCTCCTCACACTGCTTCCCCTCAAGGCCCTTCCCCATCTTTGTTACCTGCCTTTGGACACTCTCTAACCAAAACTGCCACAATATTCAAGGTGAGGCCGCTCCAGTGCAGAGCAGAGCAGGACAATCCCCTCCCTTGACCGGCTGGTGATGTTGTTCCTGATGCCTCCCAGGACACAGTTGTCCCTCCTGCCTGCCAGGGCACTGCTGATTCATGTTGAGCTTGTCATCGACCAGGACCACCAGGTCCCTTTCCACAGCACTGCTTTCCAGCATCTCATTCCCCAGTCTGTACACACATCCAGGGTTGTTGCCCCATCCCAGTGCAGAATTGGGCACTTTCCCTTGCTGAACTTCTGATGTTTGGTGATTGCCCACTATTTTGAGCCACCAGAGACAACAAACACTTTTAGCATGCAATTGAATCCCTCATGTCTTAGTGAAAAAAAGTGCACTATACTCACCATCCATGAAAGCTTGAACAGCCTTGTCTACATTGTTATCAAACTGCTGCAACACCAGGACTATCTCATTATTGCTTTTGTTCGGAACAATTGATCGTATTGCATTGATCTGGAAGGAAAAGAAAGAAGACAATAGCATATGGGTTTATCATACTCCTTTAAACAACAAGGTGCCTCTGTGCCAATGCACATCCATATAAATGCCTGTTACACGTGACACACTCAGGAGCATACAGCAATGTGTCTGTACAAAGCAATACCCATCCTGTCCTTACCTGGCCCATGCAAACAATGAAGCAATTTCTTCAGGACACCAAATCATAGAACTGGTAGCCAGTAATCCTGGAAACAAATCCTACCCTCAGCAACAGTGGGAGAACTAGCTTAATTAAGCTGACAGAATTTGGTTTTATGCTTCTTTCCTAAATGTTCTATTTGCTGCCATGGGTCTTGATACATCACCTACACAAACTTAGTGAGTACACAATTAGTACAACAAGGCTATTGCATGGTCTTGCTACATCAAAGTTACGATTGGTGGTTTTTTGATATCTGAAAAACAGTCATATGCATGAAAACAGTCACAGGCTAAACCAGCATCATTTTCAAAAGCTCTAGTGGCTGCTCAATTCGCTGTTCCATATACAAGTGACCAGGAAGCTTATGTAACAAAATCCTGAACAAAGGACATAGGAAGCGAAATGCTTCCTTCAAGAAACTCTGCTGATGGATGAGGTGATACACCCACAAGTGACTCTGGCACACCGTGCTTAAATTTCCCAGTATTTGTTATTGCTGTACTGTCAGTATCCATTGATACCAGATGAAATTGAACTCACAATGTTTTAAATAAAATATTCCTTGTGGAGTCACACTGATAATTTACTTTCTCATCCCTAAGTAATGTAGCAGAAAGTAAATAGCTATATAAAAATTAATTGCTATATTATTTTAATGCTATACAAGCTTTATGAGGTCAGAGCAAAATAAAAATACTTAAACGTAATTCGCAAAACAAAAACCTATGATAGTACTCTGAAAAAAGAAAAAGATAACCACTGCCAAAACCAGTCTAGTTGTTCGAAATTAGGTTTTTGAGCTTCTATATCAAAATGTCCAGCATGTATTTACAATCAGAAACTTGTTATTGCCCTGCAAATGTTTATCTGACACCCTTCTTTGTCATCTTTCTGTGGGAATACATTCTTGATTTAAGTGTACTTTATTTACTGCATCACAATGCCATTATGCTAATTGTGAAGCAGTGGTGGTCTTTTACTGTACCGTGAAAAATAATTGTGAAAAAAATAATACATGAAGATAGAACTGTTTAAGGGAACTAGGCTGGCTTACATGGCAAGAGAATTCACACTTCCTTGCCTTAGCTGCCTGGTTAGATGCTGAAGGACAATCTTATGGAGTCTCCATCAATGGAGATATCAGAAGGTGATCAAGAACACTTAAGTGCTCAGATTTATGACCAAAAAATCTTATTTTGCTGTAGTACGTTCACCCCACTCCTCAACTGCTGTATTTCTGTCCTGTATTCTAATATAAACCATGAATCATTTCAGGCTCTGTTAATGCACAGTGACTGAGGGCTCAGATTTGCGATGCCTGCTGGACTTCAGCACTACAAAAGGTTGATACTCAGCACACAACTTTAGTACATCTACTTAAGATGATTTACTCTACTCCTGTCCATCATCCTGTCACACCTCTCTCTGCAGCTTCACATTTGCCCACAACACATTTCAAGTAGCAAGTCCAGCCTTGGACAGCCCAGGTCAAACACATAATTTAGAGGGCAGTGGAGTTAAAGCACTTGACTACTTCGCAAGGACACTTTCCAAAGGCCTATCTGTCTAATGTTGCCACCCCAACCAAGCAAGGCTTGCCCAGCAGCCAGGTCTCCAGACAACAGCTGGTTGCTTTGGAATATCTACTCAACACAGGCTGAGTATGTTGAAGTTCAGACAGACGAGGTTGTCAAGTGGACTGCTTGAAGCAGAGACTGTCGTTGCCAGAAACTGCGGAGAAAATCCTCTGTCTGCTCAAGTTTCTCTCTTCAGCCGATGTGTATGCACGGGGAGGGAAGTAGTGAGTATAGCTTTCTGCTATGTACTGCAGGCATCCAAGTGAAAACTAACCCAAATCAATAGGATGTGCAGAAAAAGCCCTGGAAAAAGGAGTTAATTAACCTAGTGATTGTGGGTACAGGCACGCTATTTACTGATAAAGCTGCAACAAGTATGAACTGAGTTGGCTCCATAATAATAGAAGTTGGCAAAGACACCCGGGTAGAATAGGCCACAAGCTGCAGTCCATTTTAAGTTCAAGCTGGTACCTCCCAAACTTTTTCACCATGTGGACTATATCTTCATATTCTCACAAAAAACTCCCCTCTTCTTTCACAATCATGTGGATCATCTCGCTGCCTACTCAAAATTGCATAATCTTCTTGTGGTAACTGCTTACAGGAAAAACAGTAAAAGGAAATATCTAGTGTATTCTAACCAACTTTAAATAAAAGCATGGGGATTTCATATGGCTTCTAGGTCCTTCTTTGCTATGAAAGGTCTAGAAGCCTCAAGAAGCATCTGGAAACAACCAAGAGAGGCTAAGACCACAGGATGGATCAGGCAACTCGCCACACAGTGCAGTTTGGAAACTTCTCAAAGACATTAAGAAGAACATCTGTGGGGTGGAGAACACTGACACACACGAACTCGACCAGGCAGACTATGTTTTACACTACAGAATCTACTACTGAAGACTTTCTGTTTGCACTGTGTGGTCTTTGTTAAAAATTTTTTCATTAATAGGAAAATCGGACTTAAAAGTTAATCTGTGCTTCATCCAACTAGTACTATAATTAAATACAAAAAGGTTACGGAAACATTCTAGTTATGGAGATAACCCAAAAAAAAGCAAGATGATGATCTTAGGAAGAATACTCGTCAGTATACAGAAAAGAAATTAGGTACCTGACCAACACCGTGGACACAGTCCTGTTTTAGCTGGACTATAAAAAAATTTGATTTAGGGAATATCAATGTGCTGCAGAGCTCAACAGTTCTACTGCTGACACCTAAGAATATTCTTTGTTGAGGGTTGTACGAAATAAACATTTGTTTATCTTTCTACTTAAAATATAAAAAAATTTTAGATGCTTCCTGAAAAAATTCCTCAGGAAAAGAATATCAGATTGCAGGAAAGCATCCAGGACCTAGAAAATTCCAAATCAGGAGTTGCTTACACTTTTTAAATTTGCTCCCCTCCTGTATGTATGCTATGATACCCAGGATACTTACAAGCTGTTAGTGTTTCTCCTTTCCAGATTTGTGCAGTGACTTATGTGGGTAAAACAGATGAAAACTAAAATACGCAACAATCAGTAGGATACATCAATATAAAGGGGGAAAAAAAAATATATGTATATATATACAAGTTCAGAAACAACAAAAGCTGATATAAACCCAGAATTCCAACAGAGCAGAAATCCCAAAAGGTTTTGTTCTGAAACAAAGTATTTTGTCTTGTAAATTCTTAGGAACAAGATGGCATATTGTTACCATACTTTTCCTGGAATTTCAAAGACAAAGATCTGTGTGCCAGACATCAGATCTAGAACATATGCACTGTTTGACTGATGTTTTAATCCAGAATACACTGGAACTGTTGTACACAGGCAATGAAAAAGCCAGCCAATTCTGGACCTCCAGACATACAGCTACAAGTCTCAAATTGTGACCTGACAGTGTATCTGGAAGGAGGACAAGGCATGTTGAGGGAAACTAGGCCATATGACAGCCTTAGCCTAGAAATGCCAATGTCAAGGTCACCAATATTCCAACTCTTAGTCCTTTTACCTTGATTTCAAATATATGTGTAGATTTCTATGTCTGAAACTCAGCTCTGTCCCCACACGCAAAACATGTCCCATATATTTCTGGACATGAAAACACAAAAGAAAAAGCCAAAGGGAATGGTAGGAAACCTTCCTGACAGCATATGCCAAGCACAAATGCTGTAGGTCATAACAGACATACCACAGATTGTGATGAAGAGAGGCATATCAAAGCTCCAGGAATGCTTGACAGATACAAGATGACAAGGTGGACTTACATTAAAGGGTTGAACGTGAGCTGGATCTAGGCAGCTCAGGTATGCTGGCTCCTCTCTGGTTCACCTGCTAGTTCAGGTGATAAACCAGCCCTTTTGCTAGCACAGCTAAACACCTCACCAACTTACAAGCCTCCAGCTGAGAGAAGTCAACCAATTCCCAATCCAGAAAACTACACAGAGCTCATTTTTGCTACGAGTGTGGTAGGATGATTCCAGGGCAGGAGATAACTCCTAACTTTATCTCTCTAAAGTTACAGTCCTCAAAACATTCATCTTCTCAAGATGTAAGCAACAGATTATGGAACTAGAATAAGCTGATGTGTGACTTCCCATCAACAAACTCCTTTTAAAAAATATTTAGCATCCTAAAGGATGAAAGAAATTACAAGAGCCAAAAAATCTCTTACTACACAATGGTACTGCATTAACAACAGTCTGCAAGAACAAAACTCACAGCAGTCTACTTTATTGGATTTATTTCTGTTTATGTGGGAGAAAACAGTTTTCTCCTACTTTCTGAAACCTGATCATAGGAGAAACAGCATGATCAGACAGACTACAGGGAAGTCAACTATTTTAATGACTTTGTGAATCATCCTGGTTTTATCCAGTGTAGATTCCCAGTGAACTTCTGTCCTCATCTGGATGCTAGATAGCATTCCGGGACATCAAGAGAATTCAGTAACATACCTTCAGAACCACAAATAATTAGTGCTGTTAATGTCAGCATTAGTTGAGAATATGTCACTGACAACAGTTAAATTCCTGGGCTTTCCCTCCTGTAGCCTAACAGGAAAGCACATTACTTTGTTTACTACTGAAAAAACTTGCCCAGAATTTCAGCTTACAAAAGCTACTTTAAAGCAATCACAAAACTAAAATATAAGGCTGTGATCTTGAAAACAACTGTGTGCACTCAAGAACATGAAAGGCAGAACCCAGGTCCATATCCATTTAAACCCACAATCCAGACACATACCT